CAGAGAGAGAAATAAAAACAAAATCTTAAAAACAAACAAAAAAAAATGTATCCAGTTAAGGGCAGGCATGATGACATGTGCTCATAATCCTAGCACTGAGGAGCCTGCAAGAGGGTCATGAGTTCAAGGATATCCTGAGACCTGGTCTCGAGAAGATACAAGGAAATAAAGCCAAATTCAATTAGTTATGAATTTCTTGTGTCATTTTATAACAACAACATAAAATAAGAGCAGCTAGGGTGGGGATGTGACTCAGTGCTGGAGCACTTGCCAAGAAGTATCCTAGCTCCCCAGCACCACACACACACACACACACACACACACACACACACACACACACACTTTTAAACAACAGCCACTAGCACTGTAAGAAGCTCTGATGTGCCAGGCCTGGTTCTTACAGGCACACAGGGGTTAGCTAATGTAGTCTTCACAACAGCTGCTATTGTTGTACCCATTTAACAGATGGAGAAATGGAATGTCACAAGCTTAAGTAGCTTAAACGCCAGGGTCATATAACCATACGAAGAGGGCTAGCCCTGAGCCCAGGCAGTCTGCTTCCGGTCACGACATTCGCCCACAAGGCAGGACCTGCACGCGGCAGTCAGCCATGGGGCTCCTCTGGTTCCTGACAACCCCACCGACTCATCCATTTCTTACTCCATAGCATCACAATGTTCGACCCAAGCCACGGTTCGGGGCTTCAGTTTTCACAGTCTGAATTGCCACACCCGTTGTAGGGACTACATTGCTCACTGGAAAGTGTTCAAGTAGGGTTCCCCAGAATCTAATTCTGTTGTGTTAGCTAGCTCAGAATCTGGTTCTCCTTTCTGGAGTGCATTCCGAGACAGCGTCTTTGACTCTTTGTTATGTGCTCAAATGCTGGTGTCTTCTCCTCTGCCCTTGCTTCCCCACTTTGAATTTGTTTCTCTTTGTTTAGACAGGGCCTGTCTGTGTAGCCCGGGTTGGTAATGAACTTAAAAACCTCCTGGCTCAGCTTCCCAAGCACTGACTGAGATTACAGACATGCACCACTATCCACAGCTCTTCTTGAATTATTCTTCCTAGAAAGAGCAAGCTCAAGGAATCAAACAGGCTACCTACTCAGTGACCCCATAATTCAGGACCCTAGAAAACTGATCCTTTATTTCTAGTACTTTCTGTAAACTGAAAGTATATCAGGTCATAGAGATCAAAATGATGGGCTGGGTGGTGGTGGCACATGCCCTTAATCCCAGCATTTGGGAGGCCGAGATAGGCCAGCCTGAGCTGGAGGCCAGCCTGGTCTACAGAGGGTCTACAGAGTTCCAAGACGGCCAAGGTCTATACTGAGAAACAATGTCTCCAGAGAAAACAAAAACAAAAACAAACAAACAAACCCTAGATTGTGGTGACCATAAAGATCACTGTCTGTGCTCCTAGTCCACAGGCTGGACCAAAGGGCAGTTTCATATAACTAGGCATCCATGTCTCTCTTCTTTTTTTTTTTTTTAGGTTTATTTATTTATTTTGCAGGCCAGAAGAGGGCACCAGATCTTGTTACAGATGGCTGTGAGCCACCATGTGGTTGCTGGGAATTGAACTCAGGACCTCTGGAAGAGCAGCCAGTGCTCTTAACCTCTGAGCCATCTCTCCAGCCCCATGTCTCTCTTCTATTGTACTATAATAAATGAACTGACAAGATTCCAACAGACTGAAGCAAGTTTGAAAACCATTGGGCCACACACATTTATCCTGCCTGAAGATCTCTGGGAGAGAACTGTCATCAGTTTCTTTTCTTTTTAAAAATAATTTATTTAACTTTAGTTTATGTGCCTTGGTGTGAAGGTGTCAGATCCCTTGGAACTGGAGTTACAGACAGTTGTGGGCTGCCATGTGGGTGCTGGGAATTGAGCCGGGGTCCTGTGGAAGAGCAGCCAGCCAGTGCTCTTAACTGCTGAACCATCTCTCCAGCCCCCACTCTCTACTCCCATTGTCTATTTCTTAATAAACATCGTCTTCCTCTCAACCACCTTCTTTTGCTGAACCCAAGTACCTTACACTGCATTTGTGTCCATTTCCTCTCAGGCCACTCCCATTAGCGATAAAGAGCTAATTAGGATCCCCGGCCGTGTAGATGCCCAGATTGGCACAGAAAGAACCCTCAGCAGTCTCCCCTTCAAGCTGAACAAGCCACTTCCTTTCCTCTTGTCTCCCAGGAGTCTTGCTTTCCAGTCCTTCAGCCGGCTGAGTCCAGTGACACAGTGGGAGAATTGCTTGCTGCCACCGGTACACCTGGTTATGTGGTTATGTATGGCAGAGCCATGATGTTTTCTGTTTGAATGGTCCTTTGCGCTTTTAAGAGCATCTCCTCAGGCATTATGACGTGACATACCACTCTCTGTGAACAAAGGCACATGGCTAACATACACACACTTCTCGTTATCCACGGGGCCTCCTGAACACTTTCTCGACTCTGTACACTACAGACCAATTCCTCATACATGCTTTCCTGTTTGCCTTGTGTCCCCAAGCTATCATCCTGGTCCAGGCACTCACTGGGCTTGTCCTACACACTACTTCTCACTTCTGCTCCCCATGTAACTGCCATAGCAGCATATGGCAATAGTATGCCTGCATGCTCTAAACTTTCTTCCTTGTCCCTTTCTGCTAAGATGCTGGATTTGAGATCCCAGATGTCTTTGTGGTGGGCTATGCCTTAGACTACAACGAATACTTCCGAGACCTAAATGTAAGTGTTGCATACCAAACCCTAATCCTCTTTGCCTAACACCTTAATGCTGGCATCAATTTAACAAACTACTAAAAACAGTAGTAAAATGTAGCTGTACTTTGTGATGGGAACACTTTGGGAGACACGGTGAATTCTTCTAATCCTTCTAGTACCCTTCAAGGTGCGTATCAGGATGATGGAAACATGTCATGCTTATTTGTATTTTGTACTGAGAAGTGGGAAGCAGAACAATGGCCCTACACTGGTTTTTCTCTATCGTCATTGACGATGCCCAGCTAGTCACCACCAGCAGCCAATATTCTATATACCATGTGTTGTCTGTGTCTAGTAACTGACTGCTTGGGATTACAGTCACATTGGAAGGAGTTGTGTCAGCAAAGAGAAACAGACCTCCAGCATGGTACTCAATGGTGTGACCCCAATTAACCCTAAGTGATCTGGAGGAGGGCATCTTACCCAAAGAAACCAATCACTCACTATTATATATATTATACATATATATATATATATATATATATATATATATATATATATATATATAAAATGTCTCACTATTAGAAATTAGAAA